GTCTGTGCTGGTGCACTGTCTCTGGCGTGCCCGCCCGGCTCTCGGGCCTGGACAGCTGAGGGCTTGTGTGCAGACTATTAATAGCGGGCGGCGGGGGCCTGGGTGGGGGGGACCGAGGCCTCTCGGTGCCATTCGCTTCGGGAGTCCTGGGGCAGGGCCGCTTCGGGCCTCCGCTGAGGTCCTGGCTGTGCACTTTCAAGAAAAGAGGGTTAATGAAACACAGGGCTCCGTTGGTCTGGCTGCACTCCAGCTCCGACGGCGTCCTGGTTTTTATAGAATGCACTCCATTTATAAGGCAGAGCTGGCGGGAGGCAGGGCAAGCACCGGCTGCGGCTGCGGAGGGAGGCCTATGGGGAGGTGGAGGGTTTGGGGGTTTGTTGTCAGCTGGAGAGCTCCAAAAATCTGAAAGTCATTATCAGTGAACACAAGAATGTAAATAAAGTACACTGGGGTCATTGCTTCACAAGTTAAAAAAAAAAAAGCACATTTTCATGACAATGCTTGTCTTGGGGGGGGGGAGGGGGAGCGCCGCGCTGGGTTTTCCTCGCTCGTTTGTTTTTGTGTTTTTGTGTTTTGTGTGTGTGCTTTAACTGCATTTCCCTTACTGGAAAGGGGAGAAATGCTGCCAGGCCCAGCTGTGGCTCACAGGAAGGCTCCAGGGGTTTTCACCTTCAAAGCCCCTGAGAAATGGTTTTGGCCGACGTACAAAGCCAAGCCCAGCCTTTTCACAGGTGAGGGGAAAAAAGAACCCAATACAGGTTTTTGTTTTGTTTTGTTTCTACAGTATAAGCTTGGAAAAGGCTGTGGGGCTCCCCAGCTTTACAAAAACCAAGCGCGCTCTCAAAGCACTCGCGCACCCTTTCCAGTCCCCTTCTCCTGGGGGTGTCCTCCACACAGTTCCCCTTTAATGGGCAGGAGCAGCAGCTGGGCCTGCGGGATGTTACACAATCTGGTTGGGGTTTTACATGTTCAGCATTAAAACCCCAAAAAGGAGGAAAAATGTACTCATGGGTCCCATCAGCAAAAACAAGGACAGCAAACTTATGCAAATGTTAAGCCCAAGTTCAACTATTTAACTTCGTGGATTGCTGCACATCCCTACCCAGATCCTATAACCTCCGCACCACGGCTACACCTCTTCAACGCTCCGTGGAGAGTGCACGTTGCCCACTGCAGCTCCGCTGCCAGTGTCCCCCTTACAGATGGGTCTCGGTTTCCCATGCAAATCGAGGGAGGCAGTGGTGGGGTAAATGTGTCTGTTGTAATTTCCATTTGGAATAGGTCATCCTCTCTCTCTAGCTTTGCCTTGCTGTGTTTGCTGAAAATGCGTTTCTTGCCTATGGGCCCAGAATGGCTGGTCACAGGGGGCTGGGGAGAGGCTGATATTGGGGGCAGTTGCCCTGCCTTGTCTGTGACGGAAACATGCCTGATAATGGGGCTTGTGTCACCTGCTTTCTCTCACCCTTCCTTCCCTTCCCTCTCATTCTGTCCAACAGGAGAGCCAACATTCAGTTCCCTGTGACCCCTGAGCACTTGAAATCCAGCGAGTGCAACAGAGAAACTCAGTTTTACATTTTATTTGATGTTACTTAATTCAAATTTAAAAACTGATGCTCAGTTCAGTTGAAAACTTTTAAGCAGGTTTGGAATTTGGGTATGTGAATCTACTTTTTCAACTGTAAATTTAATGAAATTTAAACACAGATCATACATTTCTGTTGAAAATTTAGTGCCTAAGCAGAGATGTGATGTAAGGATAAAATACATACTGGATTTGAAACACTTAGCATGAAAAAAAGAATGTAAAATATTTCATTAATATTTTAACATTGATTATACGTTGAAATAACATTTCTGATATATTTCATTAAATAAATTATAAAATTAATTTCATTTGACTCTTTTTAATTTTCTATAATGTGGCTACTAGGAAATTAAAAATTACACACCGGCTGGCCTTATGTGCGTTTCTATTGGCCAGGGTGGGTCTCGGTGGAACTGCTCCCACCGCCCTTGGGCCCTCCCTAGACTTCGACAGCCATTGCTGAAAGGTCTCTAAGGCTTAGGAAGACTTATCTCATGTCTGTGTTCCCCCCATAGAGACTATAACCCTCGGTGGGGGAGAGGAGGAGATGGACACTATTAACCTCTGAACCCTAAGTGCAGGCACAGTGCCTGCCACATAGCAGACCCTTCAGGGATAGCTTTTGGACGAACAAATGAACGAGGTACAGATTTTTAAAAAGTTCTATCTCTTCACAAAATGGGTAATGTGTACAGTGACAATTACGAGTTGAATATATATTAATTAATGTTAATCTCATTTGCTTCTGCTTAGTGGCCACTAAAACAAGCTTTTTTTTTTTTTTTAATCCTCACAGAGGATATGTTTTTATTGATTTTAGAGAGAGAGGGAGAGAGGGAGAGAGAGAGAGACATCGAGCAACCTGGCCAGGGCTATAACAAGCTATTTTTGCCTTTATCTTTGCAGGACATTAGCGCTATCCACGACACTTCAGTCCCTCTGCCCTGGCACAAAGCATACAGTGCACGCTGAACCCCGAACCAGGAGTTAGGAGGATGGAGGTCACCAGAGGAAACTGAGACCTCATGCATGTCTTCAAGGGCCCTACAGTCTAGCTGACCGTATTAACAAACATTCAGGAACTGTTTAAAACTCTCTTCAAAGGCGTGTAAAACTCAGTTTGCAGGAGATGGTGTAGCTTTTCAGCAGGGACATTTATACAGCCCTGATATTTTTACCAGGATTCTGATTCCCAGTCCTACTACCCAACTGCCCATCAGACAGGCCTTAGACACACACGGCAATCCTTTGTAAGCCACCCAAGTTTCAGAGCAGAATCTGAATCTACCTCCAGGCTTCTCTATGAATTATGCAGGTTCCCTTGGCAGTGACACCTGCTTCAAAATAAGTTTATCTTAACAGAAAAATATGCCAAAGGGGAAACACATACATTCTTATTTGCTGGGTCAAATATCATAGTTTCTTAGGTCTTAGGAATCCTGGCACATGTACTTCGGAGTCGCAAACGTCCACTCAAATACTAAGGCCTGGTTGTTTATCTGAAGACTGAAGCCCTACAATCTTCAGACAATTTTCCCTTCTCATCTAGCAGAAAATTTTTTTGGTAAAAGTTAAGCCCACAAAAATTCCCCAGGGCAGTGGGACAAAGAAGTGAAACTGGGTGAACTGTATGTCCCAATCCGCCATCAACCACTGCCCAGCAGCATGGTGTTGGGTTTATGGGCATCGGGAGAGGCACCAGGGGGAGCAAGTGCTGGCCAGAGCGAGGATGCCCGGCAGCTGAAGGGGCACGGCCAAGGACACCAGGATCAGGGCCGAGCAAGAGAGGAAGCACGACAGGTGTCACTCCAGATGCCCGCGCCGTCAGGGGTGCCGCCAATGCCCGTGTTCGTCTAGAACCAAACCCGTGCACTTGAGAGGCACTGGGCCGGGCCTCGCTTTCTGTCAGCACTGCCTCTCCCCAGCAAGATGCCACAGAAAGGAAAGAAATGACACACTGCAGAAGCCTGCGTGACATTGGGACATTTTGGAGAGCTCAAACTCTAAGACGCTGTGGGGGCTCTGGGGGTTACCCAGGCAAACTCAGCACCAGCATCTGAGGGTTCGTTCAACATCTGACTTAGAAAAAGACCCTCAGAAGATGTGATTTGGGAACCTCTGGGACCTGAAGTTTGGCCATGGAGATCAGGATTATTTTCCAATGTAATGATGTACCATCAGCCAGCCCAACCTTGACTCTGTTCCATGGATTCATTTCAAAAGAGACCTGGGCAGGGGCCCCCACTTACTTAGTCCCAGCTGGGCTAATTCTTCGAGCTGAGCCTCAGTCTTGGCTGTTGAAATGGCATAAGGCAACTTCAAGGTAAACGGCAGAACGTCCCTAATTTTTCAAGAAAGAGAATATTTGTAATTACATGTCATGTTTCTATCTCTTACTTTTATTTCCATCCTAGATATATTTTAGCTTAAACTATTTGAAGTGTCCTAAGTAGGCATCCAATCCTGCCTAACGGGAACTTGTCTTTGCTGGTGATAGGACTGTGGGATTACAATTTCTGCCTGCAGTAACCCACCCAGGACAGGCTGAGAGGCAAGCCTGTCTCAGTATCTAGTGAGGAACAGATTTCCTTTCTGGTGAGTTAAAATGTACTGAGAGTTAATACTGGAACCGTAGAATATGTTGGTGGATCTATCATAGACGTAAAACATTATTAGTAATTTGCTAGATGTTCTGAATGTTGGACGCCAACTCCCAGGGCAGGAATGCGCAATCCTAAACCAACATGTATTACCCCACTGCCTTACACATGGCAGATTCTCAGTGAATATTGAGTTGAGACTTCCTCTTGTGTTTTAAGGCAGCGCACATGAACCCCAGGGCGTCTTGCTATGCTGCGTACTCGGACTCAGAAGGTCGGGATGAGGCTGGAGATTGGGCATTTGTGCCAAGCTCCCAGGCGATGCTGCTGTCCTGTGATCACACTTGGAGCAGGAAGACAAATCTATAGGACCTCACACACCAACCCGGCCCCCAAGCAGCACAGACCGGCCAACACATGCATTGCAGCATCGCGGACTAACAGGCCCAACAAGAAAATGCTGAGCTGACGCCAGGGTGCTTCCATATCCAGGGCATAGTGTCGCTCGCCCCTAGTAAACGCATGGACCGTGATCTCCTGCTTCCTCAGAAAGGGTAAAGGCAGGCTTGATAAACGTGTGCTCATTTCATATACAAGGGTGAGGGCCATGCTCTAAGCTGATTCCCCACAGGGCTCAGCGCAATGCCTCACCTGATACAGACAGGGAGAAAGTGTGTTTTGAGTACATGAATGGATGAATGTTCAGTAACAATGGTGTATGGTTTTTAGTGGTGATATTGGTCTTGCAATGAATTCATTAATTCAACAAGTGTTTATAGTCATCTATGATGTGCCGGACACTGTTCCAGGTGGTGTGAAAATAAACAGACAAAAGACGCCACCTGCATGGAGCTCCATTCCAGTGGACAACAGACAATAAACAATTGTGCGATTCATAGAATATGTGAGAGGGGAATGTGTGCCATGGATAAGAATAAAGTGCAAAGGGGGAATCATAAAGGGTGGTCAAGTGTGAGCGTTGGCCAGGGAAGGCCCCATGAGTAGATCACACTTGACTGAAGATCTAAAGGTGGCCAGGGAGTAAACTGCGAGGAAAAGAACTTGCCAGGCAGAGGGAGCAGGAGGTGCAGAGGCCCCAGGGTAGGAGAGAGTCTGGCACATATGAAGAACGGCGAGGGGCCACCGTGGAGTGAGGGACACAGCTTGCAGCTTCTGCCTGTGTTTTGTCTACACAAGATGCCCTGAAAATTTCCATTGAAGAGAAAGACTATACCGAAAAACATGTTGTTTACAATGAGATTAGGCAACATTCTAGGCTGTGTCAGATTAAATCTGGATGACTGAGAATTCTGGAACACTTGAAGCTGCTGACAGTGAATAACAAATGAGAAAGGTCAATGAAAAGAGCAAAACATAAATAAAGTGTACTAGTGTCACGAGGGCTCTAACACACTGCTGACAAAAATGCTAGGAGGTGACAGGAGGCTCCTGTTTCCTGGGGTGTCACGCCTGGGTCACCTCCTGCTTTCAGAGACCCTTTCACCTGCCCCCAAAGGCTGTGGGCACCGCCTTTTACTTGTCCCCTTGCATCTGTTCCAGATGAAACAGGTGGAGCCGCAGGGGATGGTAGCATCTGTAATAGGTGCTGTCTGACCCTGGGAGACATGCTGACCCTGATTATAATCTCACATGAAGATCAGTGGGAACCAGAACTCTGTAACGCCGACAGATCATGCAAATATATGTTTTTATGGCTGCACCAACTTAATTCATATCTACTTTCATTAGGCAATTTGGGGGAGAAAAGCCACATACAACAAAGCCAACCTAGGTATATTTTCAGCTCTTACCTTGCCCAATGCAGTACCTATAGCCTAAATATCACATGACTGTTTTGGGTTTTTCTTAATGACATATATGACAGGAAACCACACCTGCCATTTGCTAATGGGTGGTTTTCGGCTTTGATCTACTAGAAAATTAGATGTTGTCCATAAGTCCTCTCCCACTGTGCCAGCCAGGGCACAGCCCAGCATCTCCTCCAAGCACACAGGTAAGCACTCACACACACACACATGGGGGCACCCCCTTCTCACCTACACCCTGATAAGTAAAGGGGCCCTGATGCTAAAATTTGCATCACTGACAAAATAAAGCTATCTCACGTATAAACATTTCACCCGAGAGTCTTAGCACATGCATAGTCTAAATTTATTTTTTATTTTAACTTTGCTCTATATGTGTATTTCTAAAGGGGAGAAAACTAACTTTATTGAACTCTTACTACTTCACTGCACCAAGTACTTTACCTTATGTGGGGCCCACATACACCCTGGGAGGAAATGGACATGTCCCCCATTCCATAGATTAGGACCATAGGAATGACAAAGATGGATCGGTCCCCGCACCCACTCACAGAGCTGATGTGGGATGAAGTGGAACTCAGGTGTGTTGGACCCCAAGTCTGTGGATCTGTGCTGGCTAGTGGGGAAATATCAGCTTTGGTATCACGGCAGGCCTGGATTCAAATCCAGTGTCTGCTACTGGTTCACTGAATGTGGGCAAGTCTCTCACTCTCTCCAAGCCACACAGTCTTCACGATCTTAATTTCAGGGTTACCATGAGGATGAGAACTGATGTATGTGTGGTGCCTAGCGCAGATGCAGAAAGCCCCTGAAATTATAATCACATTTAATAATTAATAATGATAATTATTTCTGCTAACCCCTTGCTACTCAAAGTGCAGTTTAGGATCAACAGCAATGGCCTCATCACCTGGGCCTTGCTGGAAATGGGACCTCAGGCGCTGTCCAGACCCCCTCGGTCGGAATCTCCATTCTAACAGAGTCCCGGCGATTCTGGTAGAAGCTTGTGAGGCAGCGCCCTTCACGACACTGATTACACCAAACGGACAGAGGGCTACGGGGCACTGCTGGCCATGGTGTGCGCCGCCGTTGGTATTCTCAACTCTGCTTTGCAAAGTGCCCTCCTGATGTGGCAAAGCACAGGCTTAGTGATCCGTGAATTCTCGTGACTGGTGCACGTGTGCTTGTGTAATACCAGAGCCGACAGTCCAGTCACCTTCTTGCCTTGAAATACTCATGTACTTCGAACAAACTAGAACATTTTGCAAATATTTTGGTAGGACTGGATCAAGTCATTTAAGAACACAGATTTAAGTAAATGAGTAACATGATGAAAAGGGGAAACAAAAACATCAAGAACCTCTGCATTTTGGAAAAAAATAGGAAAATGAATCTCAGGTCTCCCTTGTCATAAAATGAGGCAGGGATTTTTCTGTAAGCACCTTATATTCACATCCTGCTTTGTAGTTTATAAAAGGCTTTCATGCACTTTACCTCCTTCAATCATCGAACAGCCTGGACAGAGGCATCCGGGCTATTATGAACACTGAGGGGAGAGATGGCATCTTTTGTGTGTTGCTGCCAAATGCTGTGGTATAGGTGTGACAATCTTTCACAGCAACAGCACAGTCACCAACAAGCAAACTATGAAGAGTGATCCACTGGCCAACTTCACCTGTAACCGGCATGTTAAGTGTTGAAATTCACTCCCAGGGCCTGGGCAGCCTCCAGCCAGACCAGGTGCGGTCCCCTGGGGAAGGTGGAGGTTCCTCCACCCGCCTCCCATCTTGGGGCAGCAGATTTCCTCACACAAGCCAAGGGCTCCTGCCCACACCTTGGCAGGCTTCACAGGGATGCCCCTCTGAAATGATCTCCCACCCTAAAGCCATTGATTGTGTGGCTTCCCCTGGCCTGGTGGCCTCCCAGAGCAAACAGCTTAGTGCCTGCCCCTGAAGGGCCTAGTCCAACAGACACAAGGAACATCTAACTCAGTCTTTGAGAAAAAACCTGACTCTTAAATTAGCATAAAATAAACCCATCCCAAGTAAGAGATGGCTGTGAGACGTGATCTTTGAAAACAACCATTAGTAGCCCGTGCCCCCCGCCACTCTTCCAGCCGCAACAGTCACACAGAAAAGCAAAGGAGGCCAACTGAGCTCAGAGTGGGGGATGTCGGTCTCCACAGATAAAGGGTTTGGGTTCTTAATTGCTGAAAAAACACTTGATTGGAAAAACTGTGATGGCTACAAAGAAAAGAAAGAAAGAAGAGAATCTCATGCAACTCGTGCCCTCCTGACACTTGTGAACCTCATGATTTTTGGCTTAATTTCATGTTGACTGAAGCAGTGGCTTTAGTGATGGAAAGGACACGAGCACCCAACAGCCCTGAAGGACAGTGATGCACAATGTATAGGCTGGTTTAAGGAACCCACGTTTTTAGAATGAACTGTACCCCTTGAAGAGTTTTCAGGAAAAGTATCAAGGACCTTCCAATGTTACAGGTTCACATCACTGGTCCCCTTCTCTCTGTGTGTGTGTAGGCGCATGTGCGTGCATGTGTGTGTTTCCCCCAGTCGATGGTTCTACATAAAAGGAGCCATGGGAGCCGCTGAGGAACAATAATCATATTAAATAATAAGATTTTTCATTAAGAAGGGGAAGGGTAATTATTTTGGTCTTAAGCCTGGCACCGTGGACTTGGTGACCATTTTATTTCAGTAGCTAATCCTTCCAGTGACATCTAATAGGTGGAAGCCTCCTAGATCCCTCTGCCCTGTTTTAACCAAGAAGCCTCGGGCCAGTTACATTGCGAACCAAGCAGGTGTTGAAAATCATGAGAAAGAGAGGCCTTACCTGCTGATGCAGTAGAAAGCAATGAGCCGGAATAAATCCGCAAAACTGATTCCTGAGCCTTCCAGGGAAAAGGCTGGAAAAGAGAGATTTTGGAAACCAGCTGAGTGTCCCTGAGCATGTCCTAGGAAAGGAAAGCCCCTCCATTGTCGCCTGCTGCATGCATGGGACCATCCCAGGGCTCTCAAACAACTATTGTGCGGCTTATCGGAACCAGTTGTGAGGAGGGTGAGTGTCAGCTGGAAAGGGGACATGAAGAGTAGATGGCCTAGAAACTCAGCCCCTGACTCACTCGGAGCACATGCTCCAATCCTGGTAAACAGACGGGAACACTCAAATTGCACAACTTTTTTTTTTAAAGTTCAGAATGCAAAGTTGGGCAGGGGTGAAGGGGTGAGTCTGGCTGGAGTGAGAGGCCATCAGCATATGACAGAGCTTGAGGACACCAAGGCCCCCACTGCCCTTGGCCCTCCTGAGATGGACCCCCAGGGTTCCATTCCCCTTTGCCAAACCAGGCCACGTCTGGTAAAGACACGGGGAAGAAGGCGCACAAAGCCTGAAGATAACACAAGATCTCCATAAGTCAGCTTCTGTTTAAATTCAGTCTGAAAAATTCTAAAGCCCATTTACATAGAATGCCCCCACCCACCACCACTGCCACCACCAAGCTCACGAGCTTCCTCACAGAGACGAGATGTTCTGGCGAGATATGTGCCACTTTGTACGTCTTCCAAATGGTGGAAGAGTGTGAGGTTTGGCTTCAGATATTCATGTATTTGCCAACCACTCCTCATGCCATTTTGGCTGAGGTGCCACTCAGGCAGTCATCCTTCCCCAAACACTCCAAATATCCTCAGCTTTGTGAAGATTTCTCATTTCCTCAAGCAAATGAGGTTTTCTCCCTTTTATAACACTCCATGTCCTCATTTATTTTGCTTATTATTTGCTTATATGGTATTATTTTGCTTATCCGGTATTTCTGTAGCAGCCAAAACACACCTATGCCTCCACACATACACCACGAGAGAGCGACAGAAACACACACGAGCGCCACGATTTAGTGAGTTAAGAAGGAGGGAACCACTTGGGGTGGGTTAACATCTCTAAGCCTTCGTTTTCTCATCTGTAAAATGGACAATAATAGCACTTTCCTTGTCTGCCATAAGGGTAGTAGTGGGAACTGAAATTTTTAAAAAATGGAGTAATTTATGTGAAAACAATCTATACAAATATAAGGTGGTATTTATTATTAAACCACATTTTCCTGGTGCTATGACAAAATAGCTGTGTGTTCTCATAGCAGGTCCTTCCTTTTCCAATCCACCTCAATTCTCAATTCGTAGAGAAGACAGGTGCTGGGAAGGGGCCATCACAGCGAGACCAGGGCCTGTGGCAACTAGCTATGGCTACCTTCCTGCTTTGTGCATAGTAGTTCTTCAAACCACTTTAAGTGCCATGGGAAGGAATACAGAAGTGACAGGGATCTTGACAAAAGAGGGAGGAAACCCTTTAGCTGGGAGGGACCTAAGAAGAACATCAAGAAGCCACTAATGGGGTTTCCGGACTAACTTGTCATGGTTAACTTTGGATATTAGAAGATACTTAAAAACAAGTTCTTGGCTGGCAGACTTCCGAAAGCCAATTCAGCACTGCCTTTTCCAGTTAATATTTAATTCATTATCTTTAAAACGGTAGGTTTGAAATCTATCTTCTGATTACTTCCTAATGTAAATAAACTGGTACGGATCACTCACCAGGTTTCATGACTATTCCTGGGTCTGCACGTGGAAGTTTTTCCCTGGCATCAGTGACCTTGAGAGACCTAGAGGAAAACATCTAGGGACCCAGCTGAACTTGAGGCTGGGAGGTTTCACTTCTGCTGGAGATGTCTCCTCCAGACTCAATTAAAAGCCACTTGGCTGAGTGAGACTAGGAAGGTCGGTCTGAGTAGAATTCCATACCTGCCCTTAAACTGACCTTGATACCTTCAGGTTCTGCAAATGCAGGGACCGAGGCTCCCTTCAGTCAAAACTGAGAAGTGAGAATCCTGGACTCAGTCTCGCTATTGAAACAGTCAACAGGTTTCCAAACCTGCTCCCCTGGCCTTCACACTTCAGCCTGCTAACCTGTGATTTCCATGAAGCCTTTCCCTTTGGGGTGCAGATCTCTCTTCCAATCCTTCTGGGAGGCTGGCAATACCTCACAACTATGTGTTCCCTTCTTAATTTAAAACTTGGCCCCCTGATATTTCACATTTCCAGTAACCAAAGAATAGCAGGAAGAAAAACAATGCTATTTGAACACTGCTCTCCCCTCAAAACTTCAGTTAATTTTTCCAAAGGGATGGATCCTGCCTCTGATTTGCTGCATTTCACAGAAAACTGAGCAGCGATTGCCTGGAGGGACACATCTGCTCAAGGATTATTCACAAAGATGTGCAGACACATGTTTCAGGATTAGATCCCATAGAGACAGCCTGCCCCGCAGCTTAGTCATCAGCAAACCTGGGCACCAAATCCATGCTCTGCTTCCCGGGAAGGAGGCGAGGAAGCCAACCCGTTAAGCCTCTGCCCTACGCCAAGCAACAGGCAGCACACTTTGCACATAGGTTGTTTAACTGAACTGTTAACAACTCTCTGAGGTTACGATCAGCCCAAAATACAGACAAGAAAACCGAGGTTCCTAGGGTATGTTACCTGCCCCATCAGTGAACAAACGACAATGCCAGAACTCAGATCCATGTCTGTCTGCCTCAAAGCACAGGATCTTTTCACTTGCTCGAGAAGCCTGAGGCCCTCCTGTCAACCAGGACCTGACCACCCAGTGACCACTTACTGTATGTGCTTTCCTTAATGGCAAATTCCTTGAGCGGGGCTCCAAATTCACAGGGCAGGCGAAGTGAGAGGACTTTCTTCTGCATTTTGGTGGATTTATGAACCAGGAAAATCTAGGAGGGAAAAAAATTCAAGCTTAGGAAACATCTAGAAGGTTGGAACCTGGGCATATGATTTTCTGTATATCTAACACCCACAAATAGAGTCCCCTTTATAGCTGAACTGCAAGGCTCAGTGCAGGGCACTCTGTTCCCTGAGAAAGGGGTGATATGCAGCAAGCATTCCATAGATGCATTTCCTTGGTAACTGACTTCCATGGAATCCCACTTTCCCTTGGACAGAACCTTCTCCATAAGCTAAGAGCTCCCTTAATCTGCAGAAGCATTTTCAGTTCAGTGACTATTTTTGCATGACACGTTCTCTAGCTTGGCCTTATATGGGTATCTTGGTTGATGAAACCTGGATTTGAAACACAGGCAACATGGCAAGACTATGGGTGATAATTGGGAGCTCAGTGACTAATTTGGCTCATGGGTGTATTTACGATAGAGATTCGAATTTGTTGTCAACAACGAATAGACAGGAGGGTTTTTATTGTTTTGTTTTTCACATTAAAATGTGAATTTCTAGCTTCTCTTGGAAAATGGGATGACATGGCAAGACCAGGCATGGCAACAATCCCCTGGAGCCCAGATCCGGCTGCTCCGTTTGGAAGGTGGGTAGCTGTGCTCTGAAATTCACCGCAGACAACACCAAGGCTTGCGGTCCGTTTACTCCCGACTCACTGCACTTTCGACAGCTCCCTCCAGGTCCTGATGTCTTCAGACACGTGCTTTAAACCAGCCCAACTCCCAGTCCTGATGTCTCAGGACACCTTTCTGGCCTCCGTCACTGCAGAGGCAAGTATGCCATCTACTGCTATTCAGTGCCCTGCATAATTCAAAATCGAGAGCACGGGGGCACCATTCACCTAGACGACACACAAGACAGGGTTCCCTAGAGTGCAGAGCAGTGGCCTGGCTGAGTCCTGGTTCCCTTTGTAGTACAGGACCCTTCTCCAAGGATCCTACACTGTCCTGGTTCTTTAGCCCCTTCTCTTCTTTCCCCTGCATTTGAACATGTGCTCTTCGTTCCCCTACCATTCTTTATATTTTCTACCTAATCTTCACTTCGGTCTGTATGTTCAGTCAATCGCTCCTAAGAAACATTTTTTGAAGGGAAAGTTATGGGAATGGGGTGTTTGGTAAGGAGTGAAATAGGAAGACCTTTGAGTTCCTTGTTTCCTCCTAGCACCATGAGGAGGGAGCCATGGAATTTATCCAGTAGCCAGTTCTGGGAGTCCAGGTTCTTGGGACACTCCAAAATTGAAGCCAGTGTTTCCTAAATACTATCCTGATGGGTGAAAGCTCAAAGAACTGCTGGGAGGTAGCTGCTGGTTGGTGGAAAAGAAATAATATTCCCTTATGCAGGTGGGGATCTCTTTGAGCTTTGGGGGTCAGGGAGAGCACAACCTCTAGGCCTTATTTCCTGAGTCTCTGCAGCCTTTGATCAGGACTCAGTGATGTACGGCCCGCAGACCAAATCCATCCTGCCAACTGTTCTTGTAAACAAAGTTTTAGTGAAACACAGACACGCTCATTCATTCAACATTATCTCTGGCTGCGTCTGCATTACAAGGCGGAGTTGAGTGGTTGCGACAGAGACTGTATGGCTCACGAAGCCAAATATATTTACACTCTGGTCCTCTACAGAAACAGTTTGCAGGCCCCTGTCTTAGGCTGAACATTAACCAAGGATGGTGGACACCCCAAGGACCCGTGCCACCATGGCCAGTCTTTCCAATCTCCCTCTCGCACCTGCTTTTCCTGCTTTTCAGCATTCAGGCTTCTTCTGGGGCATCTGGCCTCTCCTGGTCCATGCTGCTCATGTCCTCACCCTGCCCTCAGCCCGCCCCATCTCATCAGGCGGGCCCTGGCCCGGGATCAAGTAGGTGGCTAGAGAGAACATCCTGCCCGATTCGTTCCCTGCCAGGTCTCAGCAGGAATGGACGTGCCTCACACCAGACGGGGAATGGCTGCCTAGCAACAGGGCCGCCTCCTCCTTCAGAATTTTTGGCAGAAAAGCAGGAGCAGACAACTCCACTTCCAAAAAGTGGGGGCCTCGCAGAAGGGGTTCTGGCTCATCCAGACCAAAACCCAGAGGGAACAACCCCGCGTGCTGGCCAAGGACCCCTCCGCAAAGGTGATCAAATGCTGCGCCTGTCACCCTGAGCATGTTCCAACAGAGTTCTCAGTCCTGTCTGTTTCTGTCAGATGAGAAACAAAGACTCACTTATAAGTCCAAGAGCGGTGACAGGCAGGCTCTGGCCGAAAGGAAACCCAAAAGTTTACTTTCACGCCCAATTGTTACAACATTCCTCAGCCAGCTACTGATGAAGTTTTGTCCTTGCCTTTCCATCTACTTCTTAACTTCTATCTCCTGCCCTGTGTTGTTTCAAGTCTGATTTGATCTGGGATTTATTGTAGTTACCCCTTTTTTCTGGAAGCAGGCGTTGAATACAAGCACTGTCCAACAGGACTTGCTGTGATGAAGGGGATGTTCCCTATGTTCTGCACCATCCTATCCGGCAGCCTCCCGTGGCTAGTGGAACGGAGGAACTGAATGTTTGGTTTAATTTTATTTAATAAATATCAATTTAAATAGCCACATGGGGCAAGTGGCTACCATACTAGATAGCAAATGATATACCAATCACTGAATAACTTTTTTTTTTTAGGAAGTTCTATAGAGTTGTGGCCTGGTCTTGATTAAGATGAGACAGACTTGAGTAGGTAGCAGCTGAAGAAACTGAATTGGACTTTGATCCATGTGGAAAGCCACTGAGAAAGCCCAAGGAAACTCACCATCATTGGCCAGAGCAGACACGTCTATGGACAAAGAACTTTTGAAGGTCGGGTCCCAAGTTGGATGATGGTTGGGCCCTGGCAGGGTTCCCAGGCTCAGAATGAAAGTAAAACATCAGGGACAAGTAACACCCCACAACCAGGCTGTTCCTCAAAGTCTGGTCTTAAGAAGTCAGGCCCAGGGCCTCTGGCCAGCAGACCCTCCTCATTTCCGAGGTGCCCTGTGACCCTGCTGAGCCCTGCACTGCCCACGGTAACTGAGCAGATCGAGTCAGAAAGACAAACTGTGAAGGGCTCTGTTCCTGGGAGCTGCTCCAGGCTGCTGCATTGCAGCCCAGTTACGCATCGGAAGCCGTGTTCCCTACAGGCTGCAAAGAACTTTCTAGAACCCCAAGTCTCTCTCTGGAAGGATGCAGCAGTGCTGCCCGCCCTGTGGTTCCGCGTCTTACCCCCGGAGGCTGGGACTGGAGGACCTCGGCCGCCTCCTCCTCGCTCAGGCTCAGCTGCAGCCAGACGGGGTGGGTGTGAAGCAGCCGGTCCAAAATGCTGAGCCTGCTGGCGAGGCCGTCACAGCCAGCGTCCCAGGGACAGCTCTTCACATCCTTTTCTTTGGAACAGCCATCGTCCTTGTGCCTTACCATGCTAGGAAAGAGAGACGCGGCAGGGGTCAGATGGCTGCGGCGTGATCTCCCCCGCACGGGGACTGTCCTACAATCTCGGGGGCTAGGCCCGTCACAGCGCGCCCCATTCATTCTGTCATCACCCCCTCCTTCGTCGTCCTCTCCACACTGGAAGGCTTGAGGGCAGACACCGTGTCGTATTCCACTCCGTCGCCCTAATATGATAGGGTACACTCAACGACACTCCACACACCCAACCTCCTATTTCTAACCCAGTTTTGTGAAGATCCTAAACATCCTGAACGCTGTCTAGTCTGTCTTCTGGCATCAGATATGTCTCCCTTTGGGCACAGAACCCTAAGTGCTAAGTTCCACATGGGAGCCATCAAGTCCTAAAGCTCAAAAGACTATATCATAAGAATGACCATGGCATGCTCTAGGGACAAAAACAAAACATTCACACGCACACACGCTCGTTTGGCGCCCAAATGACTTGCACTGCATTTCTTTTCACGCACGTAGGTATTGTTATTACTAATATTATTTATAATGAAAACTTACAGTGAATTTTTTCAGGTTTCCCAGGCAATCCCAACATGCTATGCTATTCGTAAAATCATATTGACATTATTGATAATCACCATAAAGTGGAAATAGCCCAAATTTCTATCAGGTAACGAACGGATAAATAAAATGTGGTAGAGCCATACTTTTTTCCAGTGTAATATTCATTCTTTTTATGGATAAAGTACTGATCCATGCTACAACGTGGAGGAATCTTAGAGACGTGCTAAGTGAAAACCCCCAGATACAGAAGAACAAATATTCTGATTCTGTGAATATGAACTGTCCAGATAGACAAATATATGCCGACAGAAAGATTGGTGGCTGCCTGGGACTGGGAAGGGGTGTAGGATGGGTAGTGACTGCACATGAGTATGGAGTTTCTTTCTGAGGAAATAAATAAGTTCTGGAATGAGATGTGCTGATGGTTGTATAACTGTGAATATACTGAAAACAGATGAATTGTACACATTAAATTTTGAATTGTATGTTATATGAGTGAAATCTCAATCAAAAAATCATATTGACTTCCATCGTTGCCTTTGGTCCCAACATTAACCCTATTATTTATTGAGCATTTAGTCCCCATTTTACAAATGAGGAAACTGAGGCCCCAAGAAGTTATCAAGCTGTCCAGAATTATAAATAGCCAGGAGATGGCAGAACTAGAAATTCAAGTGGTCTGGTGTTCACCTAACTCTGCAGGTAAAGAGGAAGATCACGAACACAGGACAGTCTGCACCCATGTGGTGTGTACCCTCAGCAAGGCCTTTCGCAAACATTTTCTCATTTACTCCCCTCAACAGCCCTGAAAGGAAGGTCCTAGGATCCCAGTTTAAAAAGAGAGGACCAGGAGGCTCAGGCTGATTGAGTAACTTGCTCAAACACGCCTGTGTTAAGAGAGAGAAGGTGGAAATTCCAGTCCAAGGCTGCTTCAGCTCTGGAGTCTCTTCTCCCCCATGCTCAGATCTCTCCCTCTCCCTGGCTCTCAATGAGCTGATCATCAACACCGGTCCTGGAGCAGCCAGTGGGAACATCAGGCCTGACCATTCATGTCTGAAGGGCCAAATTCAGGCTGGGGTACACATAGTCTTCAAATGTCTAAACCCCCCCAAGCCCCAAATGTGTAGCCTGCATGAAGTCTTCAATGTGAGAAAGATGGGTGATGGTTCCGAGTGTGCGGTGAGAGTGGGGTAGGAGGTGTGCCTTTTCCATTTGGACCACTCCACTCCGAGGCAGGTGCACTGAATATGGAAGACGTCCATCTAAGGTGACCATTTTGGGGTATGCTGACTCAATAACCACCCCCATAATGGACAGCCTGTGGGCTGGCCAGAAACCCCATGCTAACTTCTCCCATACACCTTCTTGACTTTCTACCCATCTAAAGACTCCTGCTTCACCTCAAGAGTTCCATTTCGTTTGCTCTCAAATATGTGAATGTTTTCCTTTACCTCTGCTTTATGTTTCCAGATGGGAGAATCTGCCAAAAAGGGGCAGTTTCTCATTGTGCAAATTCCAGGGCCTCTGGGTATTTGAAGCGAATCTTTGCAGCTAATAAGAACAAACTCTTCAAAATGAACCTGGTGTTAAAATTCCTTTCACATTAGGTAAGAGGAGACTTTAGACCAGTGATTCTCAACCCTGGCTGCCCATTAAAATCGCCTGGGGAGCTTAAAAACATTTTGATGGCCAGACTGAACCCAGATCAAATAAATTATACACATGGGGTAGGACGCAAGCAACAGAATTTTTTCAGGTTTCCCAGACAATCCCAACATGCAGCCAAGTTTACAACCACTGCTTTGGATCAGCCCTTGAATCTACATAAGAATCACCTGGAGTTTGTTAAGCCTCAGATTTCTGGTTTCAGCCCCCAGATATTCTGATCCTGCAGGGTTGGGGTGGGCCTGAGACTCTGCATTTTCACCAAGGTCTGGGTGACATTGCCAGTCTGAGCACTTGCTTGAGACCTAAGAGCAAAATGTGCACTTGAACTCAGATCCAGTTACGTGGCTTTTTTTTGGGGGCGGGGGGGAGTAACATGACACTGAAATAATTGAGAACTCAAATAAAATAACATTTCATTCCTGCCGTCTCAGGTTGGCAACATTTTACCAAGACCAAATTCTATAGTCTCTAAACAGCAATCCTAACACTTAGGTGTGCTGGGATAAATGTGCTGGGACAAACGTGCTTCCTTAGGAAGAAGGGCATCCCTGTGATGCCTCAGTTGTTTCAAGAAGCTAAAAAGCCTTTGTTCTGACAACTGACCTCAGCCTACAAAGCCAGGGCCTCCACAGGGAGTTGAGAAATAAGATTCATGGGGCCTCATAAAGGAGCAACCATAAATTAGACCTTGTCTTTGCAAATGACTAAGCCGGTGCCTTTAGTCAGTTAGCTATTATTTGAGGTTTATGGCCTGTTATTACAGAACAAATTGCCTTTTATCAGCCAACCTGAAAGACAACCTTCAGGAAAGAAGTGATGAAGGAAATGTTGAACCTGCAGTGAATGCTGCTGGTGCCCTGCCCAGTCGCCCTTTCTCGGATCGGGCAGCCATGCCCCTGCTGCCCCGTTTTCCTGAACACACCTGGGAAGTTATGCTCTCCCCTGGGAGCCGAAGCACTGCTGATATGGGGTGCAGAGGAGCGGGCCTCTTGCCTACAGGTAGGACAACTCTGGGGTGCTATTCACGCTTCAGAGCTCCCTGTGGGATCCGGCTGAGGCTAGATTTCAGCTGGCCCCATATCTTTGCCTGGTTT